CGCGCGGCAGGTTTGTTGTCCCTCTTTTCCTCCTGATCCCCGTATACTCCGCGAGATATGATGCGACAACAGTGCCTCTGTCTCTCTCTCTCTCTTCTCTCTCTCTCTCTCTCTCTCTCTCTCTCTCTCTCTCTCTCTCTCTCCCTCCGCTCCTTGCTCTTTATCCGTCTCTCTCCTGTTCCCTCGCGCATTGTGGCCGTGCTCTCCGATCTCGATCCTCCTCTCCTGGTTCGTCACTCCACTCTCTCTCTCTCTCCCTCCTCCCTACGGTCGCTATTTCGTTCTCCTTTTTCGGTCACTCCCTTCCTTCTCTGCGGTCTCATCGCCTCGATACACCGACGTGTTTTCGTGATACTCGGAAAGCTGAACGATCACGAGAGAGAAAGAGAGAGAGGGAGAAGATTGGATTCTTTTCTGACCAGTTTCGTACATTGTGAACGGTGTTACGATCGCGCTGTAAAAATTTACGAGGGATGCTGCGGTCGTTATGTCAAGTCCTCCGTCAGCGTTGCTGGCTCCTCTATTCGCTCACGCGTCTCCCTCCTTCTCTTCTTTTCACAAACCGGACCGCGTGCTAGCGTCGCGTATACGATAGTAATTTCGGCCTTCAATCTCGTGCGCGTGTGCGACGTGCACGTATACCTACACGCGCGCGAATGACATCTCTACCTGTAAGGCGGTTTCGTCGCGCAGCAAAGTTTTCCGGTGGAAAGAGAGGAGTCGCACAGATAACGGCAGCAATCGTTTAACACTATCACCGCTGACTAACGTTTCCATCCTTGAAAGTACAACGCGGTTTTAGCCAGTCTTTAAGACCTGCGACCGCGCTTTATTTTTAACTCGCTAAACGGACGCGCGAGAAACGATACTTCCTACTTGCGCGAGTTTTCGCGTCAAAAAAGAATCTGCCAACGAGCCAACTTTGTTTTACAACGTTGCGCGGCAAGATCTCGCCGGAAGCCCCCCCGATCGAGAAGAGGCAATTTTCGAAACACCCGTTAAACCGCGAGGAATCAGCAGGCAGATTAAAGCCGTGAATAACCCGCGAGTTATAATTAACCGCCGGTCGGTATTTCTCCAGTATCGCTGGTCGACCACCTCTGGTCAGACAAGTACGCGCGAACTTTGCGGGAGATAGGCAGAGCCGCGGAGCGAGCGGATGGCGGGAAAACGATTTTTGAACCGCGCGGTGACAGACTACAAGCCCCTCCGCGCCTCTTCCTCCCGCCGCTCCGAATAACTCGCCTCCGAAGGGGATTTCCCCTCCATTAAACGTATCAATAGAGTAAGAACATATGTTGCAATTTTTAGACTAAAATCAAAGTAATAGGCTCCTACACTCACGCGAATTACGAAAAACTTAGTTCGATTATCGCAATCGGATTCCTTCGTTTTCTCTTAAAAACGAGCGTATCATTCACGTCCAGTTGCTTGAACCGCTGGTACACTTGATATACTCTCTTATCTCTGCTTCATTTATCAATGACTCGGTGAAACATCGAGGCTTGATGCTCGCCGCGCGTTTAAACGCGGCCCGAGCGTCCAAGGGACACTTTTCAATACTTTCTAATAACCGAGCGCGCTTCTCCGAGTAATCGCTCCGCGACGTCCGTCGGCCGAGCGCCGTTTTAGCATTCTTAGCGCGTAGGCCACGCGATATTCCAAGTACGCCGGGCTATTTTCATGCCACGCCGAGAGGACTCGCTCGCTCTCCGCGAGCGCGGGACGCCCGCCGTCTCTCCCATGCCCGGTGGCGATACGGTGACACGGGCGACGAGAAGCGGCGGCGGCGACGGCGACCTACGGGCCCGAG